AGACGAGCTAAACAAGGTCGGGTTCCTAACGATTGACATAGATGACCTTTCAAGCAAATGAGGCTGTCCTCGCTGATAAGTTTTCCCGCATTTTCGGTAAAATATTTTCGATAACAACCGTTCATTTTTCTTGCTTGGCCTTTTTTTATCCTGACGCAACAAATCCCACATATTTGGTATTTCGGCATTATTTGTTGGTGTTTGAGCACTAGATATAATTAGTGTGCCAGTTGGAGGGTCAAACAGTTCATAAATTTCATCAAAGCTGTACTGTACACGTGTGCAGGGATTTGTTGACATGCTTTGATAGAAGTATGTCGCACTAAATAGTAACGAAATTATTACTAACAAAACTGATAAATCAATAGGTCTGTTATTAAAATGTAAACAACATTTTCCATCGATTTGAAAAACAAGATATTGCTTCATTAAGGAAAATGATCACATGCCTAAATATTTAAAAAATAAAAATAAAAAATAAAACTGAGGGAAGATTCGAACCTGCACCGTTTATTTTTTAGTCACAAGTAAACTGCGTTACACATTCGGCTACATATATAGAACATATGGATATTGGCAATTACAAACTGATTTAACCCGAGAAACACCTGTCGCAGTTAAGAGAAACTTGATCAACCCTGTTTTTCATTATTTGAACACTTTCCCAAAGGAGGACCACTTTTCCGTAATACGATTTGTTTTTACATCACGGTCACAAAAAAAATATTCAAAAGTTGGTCCTCGGATGGGAAAGTGTTGAAAGTATTTTTTAAGTCCGGGAAACCCCATCACTTTCATAGATATGGTGTATATGGCTATATTTGCAGTATCATATTAGCAATACCTAATTTCTCAGCAGTTTAAAAATTCGTATTCAATTGGTTCTATATCTTTTGTATGCATTTTTGATACACGAAATGTTTTATTCCTTAATTTGTTAACCCTTTTTCATAAATGCCGACTTAGGGATATAAGGGCAGATTTCCGCCATACCTCTTTTTTATGAGAGTCAAGTGTTTTTTTTATAAGAACAAATTTGATAGCTCTCTAGACCAGTTCCCAGCTCTATAGGACAAAATAGCAAGAGGAACACATGTCTCTTGGTTATTTAGAAGGAGTAATTAAAAGGTTTTAATGAATTTGCTTCCTGTGACCTTGTAATTGGAAAAAATTGATAGCCCTTCATCCAAAATTACAACAGCTTAAAACAGTAATCGTCACCCTCATGTTTTTGGTTTCTTAAGTACATCGTGATCTTTACTTACAAATCAATCCACTTTGTACGTCTGTACATATTACAATTATATGTTAAATATAACTGATATGGATATCCGCGTATTACATGTAACACTGTATCTTTATTTTGTTTGTTTGTTTGTATGTTTTGGTGTTTTTTTCGTTTTCTATATTGCCATGTAGTCCCTCTTTTCCCAAAATACATATCAGAAAGCAGAGTTAAATACAAAAATGTTACATGTATTACTTATCTGATTAATTCATCCATACCGTTCTTACTTTTTACACAAACAATGTACGTATTAAACGTGTCACAACGTTTCAAGATCGACTGGTTTCTATGACTGTGCATGAGTGAGCGATTTGTATTATTTACCTGTACAACGATGTGACGAAATGATATATTTGACATGCCACTCGACCCGAGACGTTTCGCCTATCGATAGGGAGCGTATACACACTGCATCAGATAGTTTACAGGTAGGGTTCTTACAACAATTTTGTAAGAATGAGCCAGAATGGACAAGACGATTTTTCCGTGGTTTTAATTGATTAATTAATTAGTTCCTTTATTTAAGTCACACATTAATTAATATTACGTGTTTAATTGGCATGATGTAAGATGTGGATTGGAGACGACGTTTTCGTAATTGGATCAATTGTAAATGCTGTATACTATATGAGACTGTCAACTCGCTGTCGTCCTCCTCGTAGACGCAATCATCACGGTTGCAGGACAAACTGAGGCGGGAAAAATACAAATAGTTTTGACCTCCTGGAAATAACATATTTCGTTGTCAACGCGTGCTGCCGTCAGTAATCCAACCTTGAATACTACCGGATATATACGACAATAGACAACTGACATGTACTTCAGGACATACAGATCTCGGTACATCATTACTGTATATTAATATTTCGCGGGGCTAGTATTTCGCGGTTGTCCTGTTCAGAAATTGTTTGTGGGAATTTTAGTTCGCGCAACATCGTCTTGTAAATATATCGCTTTTTTGTGTGTGTGTTTGACGTCCTATTAACAGCTATGGTCATTTAAGGACGTGCCAGGTTTTTGTGTTGGAGGAGGGTTCCCGGAGAAAAACCACTGACCTACGGCCAATACCTGACGACTGCACCATATCGGCCTCGAACCCTCGACCTAGTGGTGAAGCGCTAGTGGTAGCAGAATGTCAGACGCCTTAATCAATTTGCCACCGCGCGCGGCCCCTACATATATAGCGCTCAAATAGATGCTTTTGTGACAGGATGAAGGGAGTTTTTAGGACAATATAGTTATGCGAGGCTGCATTGTTGTTTACTGTTCGTTATTTGGCAGCAAACAGTTAAACATGTTTTTTTTCTTTTGTGTCTGTAAATAAATACTCACGGAGATTGTGATTCACCATATTAATATCCGCTGGGTAAACGATTTCGCGCTAAATGTGGTGACTACGAAAAAAATCGATATTAAATCTCCTGCGAATATTACTCACGATACGATATATAAAAGAATATACCTTGGTCCGCGTCTAGTTTTATACCTCACACCAGCTAAATAGGATTTCACATGTACTGAAATGATAAAGTACATGTACACGCGTTAAAAAATATATGTTAATAAGAAAACATATTAAAATGGACTCATTCAAAGATATGAGAGTGTTTGTTTATGATTCGATCACAATGAAGAAATACTGATTAGAAAAGCTTTATCTTAACTCGGCAAGTCGAGGAATAACAATAAAACACAGGTTGAATTTCAAATTTGTTTACAATCAATGAGGTTTGACAGGTAAGGATGCCCAAAAAAATTAAATAGTGCCTGCCTGTAACTAGTTATAAATCGGCACGCGGTGTAAAACAGAATTACGTTGCTGAAAAATGGTGTAAAACTCGTATTGGTGGTCTGGAAAATCACTGTTAATTGTTAAAATTAACTAAAAACTAAAAACTGAACAATATGAGATTGTAAAATTTTCGGAGTAATCCGCTCCTTTATCGAGACACAGAAAAACACAGAATACTCACATTACATAAAAATAAAATAGAAATATAATAAGAAATAACTGATATTTGAAAACAATAAGCCCCTCGGCTAGCAAGTGCCAAAGGCAGAATTTACAATTTACAACTTACAATTTATAATATTTGCGTATAGATACCACAGGGACCTGATCATTTGCTACAGCTATATTTGGACCTAAATTAAGGTGTTCATAGTAAGTCAACATGTTTAAGGGGTCAGGATCGACTTCGAGTAAAAATAACACAATCATTGGGGTTGCATTTTTCCCGAAAGTCGATCTAAACCCCCGAAACATGTAAAATTCTGAACTCTGAACACCTTAGTTAAGGTCCAAATATAGCTCTAACCAATTCGCAAGTCCCTGTGATACATACCGCTTCATTGGCTATATTTAGAATCCATAACGCCCCAGACGATTTGATATAGTTACATATATTATGAGTATACTTTACCATAAACAGAATGGACAGGACATCTATCACGCTACATAATGTTCGAGCAGCAACGGCTTGCGGCAATATATATATATATATATATATACATGTACTAAAAAAACGTACATGGTAACTTACACTGGCCTGTTAAATCATTTCAAAGATGACTAGAGGTACAGATGAACATCAATATAATCAAACCTCAATATATATATAATGCCCCTACTTTAATTTGCCACCTCACTTACCGCCAACATATTTCAAGGTCCTTTTTTTTTTTTTTTTTTTTTTNCCTTTTTTTTTTTTTTTTTTTTTTTTTGCTGTTGTTAATATTAGCGCCAGGCCCCCTTTATAACACCAAATGTTTCTCCGGACAAATGGTGGCAGTATAACGAGCTTTCATTGTACAAAAAGATGCTGCGGTGCGCTATATGTAGGTTTTAGTAGGTCTTGGCGCATGTTAATACGAAAACGCATTTTTTTTTATTACGGAGAAGTGTGTGATGTGAACCTGCAGTCTATATTTTGTCGATATAGCTTTGGAGTAATTATGCGTCGGAAAATATCACTTTTCTGTTTTATCTAAAACGGGTATGTTCCTCATCAAATGTACATAGTTGTATCATGAATAGTAAGATTGAATAAACGATATATTTTCGTCATAAGCACATCATCAAAGCGAATTGTACTTGCACGATAATGCTATTATACACGTATCGACATTTAATGAGGTGTATAGGCTATCTTGTAACCGAAACAAATGCACTATGCATTGTTCTGGACATTTTCTGTATATGTTAAACCCTTCTTAGACAATATAGCGTGGCGTTTGACCTTGGGAGTATCCTAATATTGGTCAAATGTGACCAGAATGGCGTCATTTGTCAACTCGGAGATGTTTTTATTGGCAATTGATAGACAGAAGATGAAACATCTGACCACAGGTGGTGGACGTCGACGCGTTGTTAATGTTACGTAGAGGGGCGAGATCTGGTAGTCAAAAACATATATATAAAAAACAAAAAATCATCTCGTATAAAGATTATGATAAAATTTATAATATTTCCTACTGTTATAAAAAATGGGCAACAGTTTAAGAAGAAAAAAATATTGTCGCTGTTAACGTTTGTATCGTTTAATAAATATTTGTATCGAACTTATATGTACGAAAATAACCTTTCGTGGCCCTCGCTATGCGGCTTTCTTACGTAGATTCAGAAATACAAAACAAAAGGTATTTCTGGCTACAGCAATAAGCAAACACACATATAAAGCCGATCACAGAAAGCTGACACCGCAGTGTAGTGCACAGACAGGGCAAATCATTGACACAACATCGAACGGATTTTGTTATATATATAGTACCGTGCTGTCGAGAAAGTTTTGTAAAGTGACGTCACTTGAATTATTGGAATATGGATAGTTGATATGCACTGCTACACATATTACAGATTAAGAAATTAACATTTTTATTGGAGAGAGAAAAGCTTTCTACAAACGCAGTGAGGACAATGAAAGTACATGCGTTTCTCACAGACGCAATATACATTTCTATAGTTTTCTTCATATTTTGCTATCATTTTGACGTCACAGAGGGAATTTTTCGTTCAAAACAAGAATGGTTGAATGACGTCAAAACAACCCAGCGTCACTACGGCATCGCTGCTAGCGATGTTGACGATGACGGCCACATTGATTGGATAGTGGCAGGATTTGATGGACCAAATTTTGTTCTAAAATATGACGTCAAAGCAAAGCGTCTCATCAACATTGCTGCTCGGAACTCTCCGTACGCCGCCATTATGGATGAGGCGGGTCAGGCCATTGGGATCAGCGCGTGCGACATCGACGGCGACGGGAAAGAGGAAATTTACGTTTTAAACACAAACAACGGATTCGCTGGCTTATCTTCGTATAGTGATAAATTGTTTAAATGGAGAAACGGGTCCTATGTTGATTTATATTCCGACCCTGTCAACAGTAACATTACGGCGAAAAATTACGCCGGGCGTTCCGTCGCGTGTATTGACAGAGCGGGTACCGGACGCTATTCTTTTATAATAACCGCCTACGCCAATGATAAACATGCTAAATTCGCCATGATTGAAATGGACCTTTATCATCGGCAAAACTACGCCCGTACCGGAAACATTGTCCTGGTTGATGTGGCCGAGCAAGTAGGCATAGCGCAAGCAACCGGAGGACGAGGAGTCGTTGTTGGACCCATACTAGGAAACAACGGCCGCTCGGATATATTTTTCGGAAACGAAAATAGTCCATGGTTAAAACTATCGGGTGACAATTTCTTGTTCAAGAATCTCGGAAACGGAAGTTTTGCTGACGTAGCTGTGAAATTGAATTTAGCGGATGGGTTCAGTAATGCACGTGGGGTTGCTCTCGGCGACTTTGACGAGAACGGATGGCTTGATATCGTTGTAGGAAACTGGAATGGGCATCACCGTCTATATCTGCAGGACAAAGATTCAGGTAAATTCCGGAATGTCGCGAACGTTCAATTCGACAATCCTTCATTAGTAAGAACTGTCATGGTAGCTGATTTTAATAATGACGGACTAACGGATATATTCTTCAACCACTTTTGTAGTAGGGATGGAGGACCGACGCATAACCGACTTACCACAATTAAAAAATTTGGGAAAGAAATAAGACAAAATGTTGGTGATGCTGGAATGGCGGACGAACCCTACGGATGCGGAACGGGCGGAAGTTACGCAGACATGGATGAAGATGGAACATTAGATATGATTCTTTCTCACGCGGACAGTTTCGCGGATCCAGCTACTGCCCCGCTTACTGTGTTTCGAGCATCGACTACCAACCGGAACAGGTGGTTGCGTGTGGCGCCAAAAACTGTTTACGGCGGACCAGCACGTGGTGCTCTCGTGACGATCGGCTTTTCGAATGGGAGAAAACTTTCACAAGTGATCGACGGTGGTTCGGGGTATCTTTGTCAGATGGAACCTGTCGCTCATTTCGGTTTGGGATTAAGCCTTCCAAACTCTTTGTTCATCCGGTGGCCGGACGGACGAACATACAACAGACGACTTAATAGATTGGACTTAAACGAAGTGCATGTTATAGATTGGGGATGGTCAGTGATAACAGCCCGAGGTAACCCGATCGTATAACGAAAACGTCCATGCTTATACTTTCTGTTATTCCGAACAGATTTCCTCAAAAATGTGAAAACGATCTTTATGTGTTTTATATTCCTTTTGCTGAACTATTGAGAAATGCCTTATAGACAGCGCTGGTATAAGATATGTAGGTATGTTTATGATTTTGTTATAATGAGGAGTTAAAAAAGCACTGTGATTATGTTAAAATCTCGCGGTTTCTAAATGTACGAAGATCTATATTCGCAATATTGCTCCAAATTTATTTATCGGCGAGAATCATAACATACTTATGACGTAATCTGTGCATACTTATAAAGTAAAATTTGATATATAAATATTTCAATTATGACTAATACGATGTATTATTCCATCGTTAACTGCGCATCATTACATGTATGAAATAAAGTGTGTATAGCTATGACGTAAACTATGTATAATTATGACGTAAACTATGTATAATTATGACGTACGCTTTGTATGATTATGACGTAAACTATGTATAAGTATGACATTAACTCTGTATATTCATGACGTAAACTATGTATGGTTTTGTTGTAAAATGTGTATGCGTGACACAAAATAAAAATGTAAATACTTTGATAATCTCTTTTGTTTTGTTCAAAATACAAGGTTAGGCATGATGTTTATAATTTGCATAAATGTTGCCGAAGATGTGCCCTTCTGCTGTTTTAGATATGAATGTAATTTGATGTGAAACACAAAATTACACAGTTAACGGAAACTGGAGTACCCAGAGACAATAATTGGTAATCTATATATATATCTATATTTGCGTGTAGATACTTGTTAATGCTAATTTACTCGGCACAAAAAGTGCAAGCATTTATTTCTGCCCTTATTCTTACAACTCAAATAAAGGTGTTTTGGGGCCATGTCAGTACATAAAAATTATTTTCGATGTTGAATTTATACCGTAAAACATGTTATGATCTTTCGACTAAGCAAAATTACCGAGGAAAATTTGACAGATTAACATCCAGATGGAACACATTTATCAGAGATAACAATAGAAATATCATATCAGGTTTCTATTATTTATCCTTCGGCTTTAATTACTACCCTAAATCGTCCTAATCGCAATTGTGTTTGGTTTTTACGACGGCTTGAAATTCATTACCTATGTTTCGTTTTGGACGAGTTGTATCCCCCTCTATCTCCATGCATTAAGGATCCCCATACCACTGTAACTACTATGAATTATGAAGTTTTCTTGATACCTTACACGACAACACATGTATAGTTTTAAGTAATCATTTCTGAAAAGTCTCATATCTTGCGGAACATTCATAAAAAAAACAATGAAGATGAAAATGAATAATAAAAAATACCAACAACAGTTATTCTGAGAGAACCCTGGAACGCCTATAAATGTTGTTTCTAACCAGCTTAACTACACGAACAGCAATATTTCCTCTGGCCCTGTCCGACTACAGTTGTATCCAAGGACAACATTAAAAGGAGGTAGCTGTATGTATGAAAATAAACAAGTAACATTTTCTAGTGTTTTGCCGATAACGGGACAGGGATCCTTAAATGTATTTTGTATAGGTGTAATGTTGTAAGATATGACTCATAAGGGGATCCACTAAATGACAAGTCTCCGCGGAATGACCAGTAGCTGTATGTGACAAAACACAGCACACACTACCAGTTAAAGGTATTGTGATTGACAGTCGCAATGACTAACGGCTGGTAAAGATAGCACGTCAATCATCCGAGGACACCATTCGGTGGTCACTGGAATGTCCAGTACATACGTAAATAGTTCGTGAAAAGTACGTATTGGCAGACAAGGACAAACAAGCTGGTGATGTGTGCATCCATCATAACAATCAGGGCCGGTTGATAAAGTGAAAATCATGAATTTATTCCTTAAATATCTATAAGTAAACAAAAAACGCAATAAACTATTTTCATGCATTACAAATGTAAGACCCACAGGAAATATCCCTTTATAATAGAGTATAGTGTTTACCCTACTTGTACATGTTTGATATATATATTTTACCATTTTTAAAACCTTTTAGTTGCTTTTGACGTGTGTAACGTGTTTTGAGTTGACGTGTTTGCCTTAAAATATAGCTTCTCGTTCATGCATAATCATATTTGCCTGTCTGTCTGTCTGACTGACTGACTGTATCTGCGTCTGTCTGTCTGTCTGTGTCCGTCCGTCCTTGCGTTCGTCTGTCCGTCTGTCTACAAATAATAATGACGGATATTTAAAAACTAATTAGTGCATCTGTGATTAACGAAAATATACATGTATGGCGCTTGTGTCTGCATCCGACGGAGGGAGGGACTGCAAATATGTGTAGATGCTCAGATACATATGTGTTAAAGTTTTAAGTCAGGATGACTTTATGTGACGATGTTTTAACACAACTGATCATTAGTTCTGTACAGTTATTTTACCTTTATAACATAGGGATTAAACGACGTTTTTTTTAAATTTTCATGCCGGTATGAACGCAAATCGGTTACATCCATATTGCATGAAGCCCGCTATTGGCGGAACAGCCCTATTTCAATAAAATTGGCGCCAATACTAAACCGTAGTCATTTGAGCGTATGACACAGGGGAATTTTGTCCGTGTTATCGGAAGCGAAGCTACAAGATTCTCATCTAATAAAGTCAATCTATGACGTCATAAGTAAACAATTAAACAAATCCCATAAAACCCGCAAGGGTTTTATGGTAGATTTGCCAGAGGCCACTTGTAATTATATCAACAATAATTACATCCAGACAACCAGGTATTTTTTATATTTACATTTTTTTCTTTTTTAAGACATATTCCTACAAAAACCATTTGCCCTGCCTCAAAATACATTTCAGGCGGCCATTTTGTTTGTTTACATATTTCTACACCTGAAACAGGCAGTTGTAATTATAGTCGATCAGTTGTAATTATAGCCTATACAATTACCCGTGCCCTCTTACACTATTGTAATGGGACGGCGCGGGAGCAAATGTAAATATGCTCAAATGAAATGCATTTCTGCTTGTAATGTTCATATAGAGGGTTGCAGGGCAAATGTAGATATAACTGTATGGAGTTGTCAATATATAACTCTACCCTATTCAGATGACAAAGATATATCACGATGATGTCATCAATTTCAGGAAACCACTGACCTCCCATGGAAGATGTCTGTTTTATTAATTAAATAAAAAAGAAGGTACATACACTAATAAGAAATGCAGAATTATAATAAGCATATCTTTATTTTAACGATTTTAACATTTTCCCAAAATGATAAAGCATTACAATGTGTTGATATGGCATTTACAGTCTATATGAATGGCCAATCCGATGATAATGCTCTAACGAAATTTACAGGGTTTGCCTGCAAACCTGTGTCATTTAAAAAGACTGTACATGTCTATATGCTTTATCAACACAGTTCAATGCTTAAATAACAGAAAAATAATCGGCAATACACAAACACCACAGCAGTATAACTATTGTAGAGCTGGGGTTCATAAATGATGCGCTTCCGGTTGTCCTCCGAAGTCGTTTATCCACGTGCTTATTATCAAATAGACTTTTTTCGTCGTACAAATTAGACCAATGAACTTCGTGGACCTTGTTCAAATCTGATACTCCCATTTCCCGTTGATGTATCTTTCCATCAGGCCATTGGATTTCTAATAATAGCACATCCGGTGTCTGCCCTATTCCGAAATGTGCCACCGGTTCCATCTGGCCGCGGTACCCGGATCCTCCACCAATGACCTGGGTCATCATTATACCCCCGGCTAACACTAAGGTGACCTTTGACCCCCGAGCTGGAGCTCCGAATCGGGTTTTGGGGATTATTCTTACCCAGTAATTTGTAAATCTAGTCGGACCTTGTGATGGGTTATGTATTATTTTACCTGGGAGATTATTTCCGAACGTTGTCCTTTGAATCACCTCTGACCTCTGTGATGTCATTCTGTCTCTCGTTCGTTTTTTAGACCTAACGGGCGATCTTGTCGAATATACCGTAATAGTATTTCCAGACGACTCGCCATGAGTTATGAGAAGGTCAAGGACACCGTCACGGTCAATATCAGTCACGACACTTCCTGTAGGATATGCTCTTGGCTCAAGAGCTTCCCCGATACTTACTTTTGTTACATTCAATTTTTGTCCTGTTTCATGTTTCGTTGTGCGAACTGTAAATAACCTGTTTGGCTGGGCTCCATGATACATTGCGTTATTGTAGAATATTTCAGTGTGACCGTCGTTGTTGAAGTCCGCTACCGCTAGCGAGCACAAAGCAGAACTCTTTCGCATTTCTGCAGTCGCCATGTCACTGAATTTCACTCTTCCGCTATAGGATGAAATACGCTGAATAAACAATCTTTGGGATCCTAACCAACTTCCGGTCACAATATCTATTAGACCATCTTGATTTATGTCCCCTATCGCAATGCCTCTCACATTTTGGTTTTTGTCCGCCAGACCTAATTGTCGAGCTACATTTCTGAACTTCCCGCCTTCATTATTCATAAAAAGCTTGTTTTCCCTGTTTTTATTCCAAAAACTCTCCGTGTTAACGAAAATATCCGAACGCCCGTCTGTTCCTAGAATCGGACCAATGGTTATGCCTCCACCGCCCTTTGCCTGGTCTATCCCGGCGTCCATAGCAACGTCTCGCAAGACAATCGGCCCGCTATCACGATTATTTTCCGGGTGAGATACGTCCATTTCAATGAGCATTAATCGTTCCGTCCCGTTTCGCGTGGAGGTCATCACAGCAAATGCGTACAGACCTGTACCTTGTCTATCGATACACGTCACAGAATGACCCACGTGCGTCACTTCCGGAATCCAAGCATTGAGGGAATCCGAAAGCAGATCAACATATCTATTATCAACATATTTAAATAACTTGTCTCCGTGATTTTGCCGCCCTGTGACGTCAGTGTTGGAGTTGAGAATGTAAATTTCTTCCCTTCCATCGCCATCGACGTCACATGCAGCCACGCCTACAGCCCGACCCTCGGGATCCATGAGAGCCTCGAAGGGTGAACCAGTCAGTGCCACGTTCTGTAACATGCGACTTTTGTTGTCGTAAGTCAGTACAATGTTGGATCCACTAAAGCTCGCCACGACAATATCCAAATTCTCATCCCCATTAATGTCACTGACAGCCGCACCATAGGTCATCTCCTTAGTCACAAATTGACGTAACAGGTCATGTGACCTGGAAATAAACATCGAATCTGACTGTAAAAACGTGTTCAATAAAACGCACCACCAGAAAATGTTGTTCATAGCTTGTCTGGGTATCGACCGTTCCGTAGTTCATTTAATAATAGACATCCACGATCCCAGATGATAATCAGACTATTTTGCACCCGGGATCGAGGATGAATATCTGCTTACAATTAGAATGTATGTACTGGTTTAGATTGATGATGTCATTGAACTTTGATCGGGGTCATTTCTATGAAGCATGATGTTTTATTTGATAGATTGCTGGATAGATTAGACAAGGTGTTTATGATATACACTGATCACGTGCAGCACACCTGTATTGAAAAATATGTTATAGGTACAATACACATGTTCTGATATGAAGTAGTTGTTGACAATAAAAACCGTTGTGGTTTTGTTTGCTTTACGCTTCATTGTGCAATTAAAATAAAATAAGAATATACAACATTTTGATATACCCCCATATCTAGCTAGAATAAGCCACTCTAAAGCGCTTTACAGTATATAGATATACAATTGATAAAATCAATCAATTATCATATACATTTAATAATACATTAATCAATACAATTCTGAGGAATTTGCAGGAACTGTCTTATCAGGCGCTAACTATTAGTCATATGCCACCTGGCTAATATCTCCCTATGTGTGTATGCTTGCGCGAGTGCTTGGTATGTGCTGTTTGTAGTGGGACCGTGGTTCCAAAGTGCCGACTCCCTCCAATGCTATAGCACAGATACAAATAATTGTACCACAGCATCCACCCCGTACCATTTTATACTCCACCTGGGTTGTACAAAATGTAGGAGTTATCGTCTATGACAGGGAGTGCGTATGTATTACATATAGATCCACACACATATGCAATGTATATACACATTTCAGTTAAATCCTAATTTGTTCTGGTACGAGTGTGTTTAAGGTTGGAAGTTTTTTTATTTAATTTTGTTACAGAATTCAAGTAGAACGATTTGCGAAACACGGGTTCTGAAATATGTTAGTAAAATATTATAGAACAGGCAAGTATAATTTTTTAAACTTCTTTGCAGGCTAGCTGTACTTAAAATATGATATTGTAAAATATTATTTCGCAAAAAGTTCTTTAAAATTGCACATGTAATGTACTCCTTTATATATTTTACCCCCAACAACACTTTCTTTAGACCCTTTTGCACCTCTTTCCTTTCTACCTCCCCCGTCCTCTTCTCTTCCAAATACTTATACATGTATATATATGCATACTATTCGTCAGAGCCGTCCTATCGCCATTTTACAAAAAACGGAGACGGATTAACATAAATACTTTATACTTGTTTTCGAATCCTACATGTATATCATGTTTGTATTACTGGAATATTATACCGATGATAAAATAAAGTTAAAACTACATGTAAAATGGCACAGGACACTCCATTTTTATTACGAAGTTGTAAAATTGAAGGAAATTCGTTCAAAAGTCCTCAGCATTAATTCTGATTTAAGTACTTATAAAATATAAAACAGCCGTTTTTTTATTCTAGTTATCTCCCCTTATACGTTAAATTACTTAGGAAAGTAGATTGTCACGAACATGAAAAACGCTTTGAGTTAATATTCATCCGCGTCACACCCAATAGTTGTAAGGTCTTGTTCCGCTTCCGAACGGGTAGATCACATACATCCGGTACATCTTTTTCGTCGCTTATGTCCCGGAAAACATCATCTAATAGGTCTTGGTGATACATACAGGATTGTTGAACCTTAATTTGGCGGATTTGTACGTAAATGTGAAGAAGCTGTTGCGAAAGTGCCTGGTTCCTTTCAGCGATTTCTTTCTAAAAATTATTGAAAAATAAAGTCTATGAATATAGTATCATTCTTGTTCAAATATAGCTTTCGGAACACAATAAAGAATTTAATACATTATTCTTGTTTTTCATATATATGGTTGATATGATTTACCCTAGCAGGTGCAACCAAAAACGTGAAAAGTGTAAAAACATCTATATATTTTGGCCAATATGACTTATAATCGGATCTTATTATTAAGAAGGACACAGATTAAATTCAGTTTGAACAATATTTAACTAACCCATAGCAATTGTTTTTCACATAGGATTTACCCTAGCAGGTGCAATCCAATTCGTTAAAAATGATTTTTTTTTTTATATCAATTTGCAAATTAGTGGATCCATTTAGTTGGGATGGTCCACACCAGAGTAACTTTGAATAATAAGTAATTTTATATAGTTTCATGTTTTCACATATTGGGTTGTTTTCCAACAAATAAAAAAAAAACGCTGCTTGTGCCAAACTGAACCTGTCTTTAGAAAATTGCTGAAACATGCTTCTTTTATAGAATGTCAATTTTTTTTCAATTACGTAGTGCGATTTTAATTCTGTAACAAATAGATATTAAAACTCGTATATGTGGTTTCTGCTCGGGGCTTCCGGTCCCCCGACCAGAGCCCTGTTCTGGACTCGCTCCTCAATAACCCACTCCAAGCTAGAGCTAGCTACGGCCCTAAAAAATGATATTGTCACCCTTAAGGCGTCTGACATCTGCTACCACTAGCCCCCAACCCCACCACACCACACACACACACCACAACCATCACCACCATAACCACCGCCGGGTTGCGGATTCGAGGACTACGTGGAGCAGGTAGCAGGTACTGGCCGTAGGTCATTGGTTTTCTCCGGGAGCTCCAGATTTCCTCCACCGCCAAAACCTGGCACTTTTTTAAATAACCATAGCTGTTAAAACACAAAAAAGGACTTTGGTATGTCCCGGCCTTGGGACAGAACCCATTGCCTTCCTCACCTGGGCGAACGCTAAACATTAAATCCAAAAGGGAGGCGTTGCCAAGCAAAGCGCTAGGAAATAAAAGGTATTTAGAGCTAGAGAGAAATATAAAGATCCCAAATATTGCAATGGGTGCAAAAAAAAAATCAACTCCCAATCTATTTAAAACACTTACGAATGAACTCCGTTGACAAACAGCAAAATATCTCACAACTATATGTGTCGTCGATTATCAGAAAGTGTTATGGAAACATTGTGGTTTATGGTCCATGTGTGAGGTAAATTATATCAAGTGATGTTTCTGTGTAATAAAAACTGTGTGTATTATGGTCCCTGTGTTATATAAACTGTGTGTATTATGGTCCCTATATTATAAAAACTATGTGTAGTATGGTCCCTGTGTTATATAAACTGTGAGTAGTATGGTCCCTGTGTTATATAAACTGTGATTAGTATGGTCCCTGTGATATATAAACTGTGTGTAGTATTGTCCCTGTTTTATATAAACTGTGTGTAGTATGGTCCTTGTGTTATATAAACTGTGAATACATGTAGCATGGTCGCTGTGTTATATAAACTGTGAGTAGTATGGTCGCTGTGTTATATAAACTGTGTGTTGTATGGCCCATGTGTTATATAAACTGTAAGTAGTATGATCCCTGTGTTATATAAACTGTATGTAGTATGGTCACTGTGTTATATAAACTGTGTGTAGTATGGTCGCTGTGTTATATAAACTGTATGTAGTATGGTCCCTGTGTTATATAAACTGAGGGTAGTTTGATCCCTGTGTTATATAAACTGTATGTAGGATGGTCCATGTGTTATATAAACTTTGTGTAGTATGGTCTCTGTGTTATATAAACTGTATGTAGTATGGTCCCTATGACAAATAGAATGTGTGTAGTATTGTCCCTGTGTTATATAAACTGTGTGGTGTATGTTCCGTGTGATATATAAACTGTGAGAAGTATATGGTCCCTGTGTTATGTAAACTGTGTGTAGTATGGTCCCTTTGTTATATAAACTGTGTGTAGTATGGTCACTGTGTTATATAAACTGTATGTAATATGGTCCCTGTGTTATATAAACTGAGTGTAGTTTGATCCCTGTGTTATATAAACTGTATGTAGTATGGTCCATGTGTTATATAAACTTTGTGTAGTATGGTCGCTGTGTTATATAAACTGTATGTAGTATGGTCCCTATGACAAATAAAATGTGTGTAGTATTGTCCCTGTGTTATATAAACTGTGTATAGTATGGTCCATGTGTTATATAAACTTTGTGTAGTATGGTCCCTGTGTTATATAAACTGTGTGTAGTATGGTCCATGTGTTATATAAACTTTGTGTAGTATGGTCGCTGTGTTATATAAACTGTATGTAGTATGGTCCCTATGACATATAAACTGTGTGTAGTATTGTCCCTGTGTTATATAAACTGTGTGTAGTATGATCCCTGTGTTATATAAACTGTGTGTAGTATGGTCCATGTGTTATATAAACTGTGTGTAGTATGGTCGCTGTGTTATATAAACTGTATGTAGTATGGTCCCTATGACATATAAAATGTGTGTAGTATTGTCCCTGTGTTATATAAACTGAGTGTAGTATGATCCCTGTGTTATATAAACTGTGTGTAGTATGGTCCATGTGTTATATAAACTGTGTGTAGTATGGTCGCTGTGTTATATAAACTGTGTATAGTATGGTCCCTGTGTTATATAAACTGTATGTAGTATGGTCCCTGTGTTATATAAACTGAGTGTAGTATGATCCCTGTGTTATATAAACTGTGTGTAGTATGGTCCATGTGTTATATAAACTGTGTGTAGTATGGTCGCTGTGTTATATAAACTGTGTATAGTATGGTCCCTGTGTTATATAAACTGTATGTAGTATGGTCCCTGTGTTATATAAACTGTGTGTAGTATGGTCCCTGTGTTATATAAACTGTGTGTAGTATGGTCCCTGTGTTATATAAACTGTGTGTAGTATGGTCCCTGTGTTATATAAACTGTGTGTAGTATGGTCCCTGTGTTATATAAACTGTGTGTAGTATGGTCCCTGTGTTATATAAACTGTGTGTAGTATGGTCCCTGTGTTATATAAACTGTGTGTAGTATGGTCCCTGTGTTATATAAACTGTGTGTAGTATGGTCCCTGTGTTATATAAACTGTGTGTAGTATGGTCCCTGTGTTATATAAACTGTGTGTAGTATGGTCCCTGTGTTATATAAACTGTGTGTAGTATGGTCCCTGTGTTATATAAACTGTGTGTAGTATGGTCCCTGTGTTATATAAACTGTGTGTAGTATGGTCCCTGTGTTATATAAACTGTGTGTAGTATGGTCCCTGTGTTATATAAACTGTGTGTAGTATGGTCCCTGTGTTATATAAACTGTGTGTAGTATGGTCCCTGTGTTATATAAACTGTGTGTAGTATGGTCCCTGTGTTATATAAACTGTGTGTAGTATGGTCCCTGTGTTATATAAACTGTATGTAGTATGGTCCCTATGACATATAAAATGTGTGTAGTATTGTCCCTGTGTTATATAAACTGTGTGGTGTATGTTCCATGTGTTATATAAACTGTGTGTAGTATGGTCCATGTGTTATATAAACTGTGTGTAGTTTGGTCCCTGTGTTATATGAACTGTATGTAGTATGGTCCCTATGACATATAAACTGAGTGTAGTATGATCCCTGTGTTATATAAACTGTGTGTAGTTTGGTCCCTGTGTTATATAAACTGTGAGTAGATAAACTGTGTGTAGTATGGTCGCTGTGTTATATAAACTGTATGTAGTATGGTCCCTGTGACATATAAAATGTGTGTAGTATTGTCCCGGTGTTATATAAACTGATTGTAATATGATCCCTGTGTTATATAAACTGTGAGTAGTATATGGTTCCTGAGTTATATAAACTGTATGTAGTATGGTCCCTATGACATATAAAATGTGTGTAGTATTGTCCCTGTGTTATATAAACTGTGTGGTGTATGTTCCATGTGTTATATAAACTGTGAGAAGTATATGGTCCCTGTGTTATATAAACTGTATGTAGTATGGTCCCTTTGTTATATAAACTGTGTGTAGTATGGTCCCTGTGGTATATAAACTGTGTGTAGTATGGTCCCTTTGTTATATAAACTGTGTGTAGTATGGTCCCTGTTTTATATAAACTGTGTGTAGTATGGTCCCTGTGGTATATAAACTGTGTGGAGTATGGTCCCTGTGTTATATAAACTGAGTGTAGTATGGTCGCTGTGTTATATAAACTGTGAGTAGTATGGTCCCTGTGTTATATTGTGTAGTATGGTCCATGTGTTATATAAACTGTGAGTAGTATATGGTCCCTGTCTTATATAAACTGTGTGTAGTATGGTCCCTGTTTTATATAAACTGTGTGTAGTATGGTCCATGTGTTATATAAACTGTGAGTAGTATGGTCCCTGTGTTATATTGTGTAGTATGGTCCATGTGTTATATAAACTGTGAGTAGTATATGGTCCCTGTCTTATATAAACTGTGTGTAGTATGGTCCATGTGTTATAAAAACTGTGTGTAGTATGGTCCCTGTGTTATGTAAACTGTGTGTTGTATGGCCCATGTGTTATATAAACTGCGTGTAGTATGGTCGCTATGACATATAAAATGTGTGTAGTATGGTCCCTGTGTTATATCTATGACATATAAAATGTGTGTAGTATGGTCCCAGTGGTATATAAACTGTGTGTAGTATGGTCCCTGTTTTATATAAACTGTGAGTAGTATGGTCCCTGTGTTATATTGTGTAGTATGGTCCATGTGTTATATAAACTGTGAGTAGTATGGTCCCTGTGTTATATTGTGTAGTATGGTCCATGTGTTATATAAACTGTGTGTAGTATGGTCCATGTGTTATATAAACTGTGAGTAGTATGGTCCCTGTGTTATATTGTGTAGTATGGTCCATGTGTTATATAAACTGTGAGTAGTATATGGTCCCTGTCTTATATAAACTGTGTGTAGTATGGTCCATGTGTTATATAAACTGTGAGTAGTATGGTCCCTATGTTATATAAACAGTGTTTAGTATGGTCGCTGTGTTATATAAACTGTCTGTTGTATGGTCCCTGTGTTATATAAACTGTCTGTTGTATGGTCCCTGTGTTATATAAACTGTCTGTTGTATGTCCCATGTGTTATATAAACTGCGTGTAGTATGGTCCCTATGACATATAAAATGTGTGTAGTATGGTCCCTGTGGTATATAAACTGTGTGTAGTATGTATGTAGTATGGTCCCTATGACATATAAAATGTGTGTAGTATGGACTGTGTGTAGTATGGTCCCTGTTTTATATAAACTGTGTGTAGTATGGTCCCTGTGATATATAAACAGGTGTGTTGTATGTCCCATGTGTTATATAAACTGTATGTAGTATGGTCCCTGTGTTATATAAACTGTGTGTAGTATGGTCCCTGTGTTATATAAACTGCGTGTAGTATGGTCCCTATGACATATAAAATATGTGTAGTATGGTGTCTGTGGTATATAAACTGTGTGTAGTATGGTCCCTGTGTTATATAAACTGTGAGTAGTATGGTCCCTGTGTTATATAAACTGTGTGTAGTATGGTCCCTGTGTTATATAAACTGAGTGTAGTATGGTCACTGTTTTATATAAACTGTGTGTAGCATGATCCGTGTGTTATATAAACTGTGTGTAGTATGGTCCCTGTGTTATATAAACTGTGTGTAGTATGGTCCCTGTGTTATATAAACTGTGTGTAGTATGGTCCCTGTGTTATATAAACTGTGTGTAGTATGGTCCCTGTGTTATATAAACTGTGTGTAGTATGGTCCCTGTGTTATATAAACTGTGTGTAGTATGGTCCCTGTGTTATATAAACTGTGTGTAGTATGGTCCCTGTGTTATATAAACTGTGTGTAGTATGGTCCCTGTGTTATATAAACTGTGTGTAGTATGGTCCCTGTGTTATATAAACTGTGTGTAGTATGGTCCCTGTGTTATATAAACTGTGTGTAGTATGGTCCCTGTGTTATATAAACTGTGTGTAGTATGGTCCCTGTGTTATATAAACTGTGTGTAGTATGGTCCCTGTGTTATATAAACTGTGTGTAGTATGGTCCCTGTGTTATATAAACTGTGTGTAGTATGGTCCCTGTGTTATATAAACTGTGTGTAGTATGGTCCCTGTGTTATATAAACTGTGTGTAGTATGGTCCCTGTGTTATATAAACTGTGTGTAGTATGGTCCCTGTGTTATATAAACTGTGTGTAGTATGGTCCCTGTGTTATATAAACTGTGTGTAGTATGGTCCCTGTGTTATATAAACTGTGTGTAGTATGGTCCCTGTGTTATATAAACTGTGTGTAGTATGGTCCCTGTGTTATATAAACTGTGTGTAGTATGGTCCCTGTGTTATATAAACTGTGTGTAGTATGGTCCCTGTGTTATATAAACTGTGTGTAGTATGGTCCCTGTGTTATATAAACTGTGTGTAGTATGGTCCCTGTGTTATATAAACTGTGTGTAGTATGGTCCCTGTGTTATATAAACTGTGTGTAGTATGGTCCCTGTGTTATATAAACTGTGTGTAGTATGGTCCCTGTGTTATATAAACTGTGTGTAGTATGGTCCCTGTGTTATATAAACTGTGTGTAGTATGGTCCCTGTGTTATATAAACTGTGTGTAGTATGGTCCCTGTGTTATATAAACTGTGTGTAGTATGGTCCCTGTGTTATATAAACTGTGTGTAGTATGGTCCCTGTGTTATATAAACTGTGTGTAGTATGGTCCCTGTGTTATATAAACTGTGTGTAGTATGGTCCCTGTGTTATATAAACTGTGTGTAGTATGGTCCCTGTGTTATATAAACTGTGTGTAGTATGGTCCCTGTGTTATATAAACTGTGTGTAGTATGGTCCCTGTGTTATATAAACTGTGTGTAGTATGGTCCCTGTGTTATATAAACTGTGTGTAGTATGGTCCCTGTGTTATATAAACTGTGTGTAGTATGGTCCCTGTGTTATATAAACTGTGTGTAGTATGGTCCCTGTGTTATATAAACTGTGTGTAGTATGGTCCCTGTGTTATATAAACTGTGTGTAGTATGGTCCCTGTGTTATATAAACTGTGTGTAGTATGGTCCCTGTGTTATATAAACTGTGTGTAGTATGGTCCCTGTTTTATAAACTGTGTGTAGTATGGTCCCTGTGTTATATAAACTGTGTGTAGTATGGTCCATGTGTTGTATATCAACTGTATGTTGTATGATCCATGTTCGATATAAACTGTGTAGAGTATGATCCATGTTCGATATAAACTATTATATAAACTATCTACTACACACAGTTTAAATAACACAGTGACCATACTAAATACTGCTATTCTCTTATAACCCTTTCCCTCGGGAACAATTCTCTTATAGTGTTGTATGGGGAGATAAAGTGCCCTCGCCTAACCACTCGGGCACTATACCACCCCAGACAACACTATAAGAGAACAGTTCCCTCGGGAAAGGGTCATAATATAAAAGTAGTGTATGATCCATGTGTTATATAAACTGTATAGTATGGTCGCTGTGTTATATAAACTGTATAGTATGGTCGCTGTGTTATATAAACTGTATAGTATGATCCCTGTGTTATATAAACTGTATAGTATGGTCGCTGTGTTACATAAACTGTGTGTAGTAGACCTTTGATTTATGCTTCGTATAATGGTCTTTATTCTATGTTTACGGTGTGAAAACACTCCTCGTGTTATGTAAACTGTGTATAGCATGGTCTCTGTTTTGCAAGAAAAGTTTGTAATATGGTCATGTGCTAAAAACAGGGGGAGGGGTATATGGTCCTCGGATAATATGTATTTTATATTGACGGTGTGAAGAAGGTATTTGCGTTATATACACTGCATGTAGTAAGGTCCATGTGTTGTAGAAATCGCGTGTTTTGTAAAGTATGTATGAACTACGTGTGTTTTGTACAGTATGTATGAACTACGTGTGTTTTGTACAGTATGTATGAACTACGTGTGTTTATTACAGTATGTATGAATTACGTGTGTATTATGATCTCTGTTTTGTATTCAGGGTGTCTTGTTATGTCCCTTTCAATATAACATTTGTGTAAGAACTTTTGACGAAAAATATTTTTAAGTATATACCTACCCTAGATTGATTGACATATTTGAGTTTCTCTGACATGTTCATCTTCTTAAACACATGATCATTTTCGGTACCGCCTTCTTGCTCCTTACACTCTGTAAGATCATAGAGCATGGTTCCACTGGATATCTTTCGGTAGCCTCTTCGCGTTGCCATGTACTGTCGCCCCGATGGCTTCCGGCTGATATCCGAAAGTGGCTCCAGCTTCAGTCGCTTTGTAATATCAATCAGATCAAGCAAATAATTTTTCTGTTCATCCATAATGTCCAATTTCTCAAAATTAAAACAAGTTGATGAAAAAAGTTCTATATTATTTGCAATTGATCGATAGCGAATATATCATTTGAAACAACCAGAGATCATTTCAATATCTCCCCAAAGTTGTATTGATGAAGTTCCATGAAATACGATGTCGTGAACGTATTGCACATATATTAGATCTAATGGTTACAGGGTTATACGATGAACATGTGTGTGATGCTCACGTGCCGGGGTCGTTGTTTGTGAGGACTTTGAAACATCCGGAATCACAGTTATTGTTACCGTAAATATGGAGGAAAAATGACCTTTCGTATAAAAGTATAACGTTTTAACAATACTATTGTAAACATGTTATTTAAATATTATCAATTTAAGGTGCCTTTCGACTTTATCTACGTGCTCGATATGAAAGAAACATTGCTTACGACGAATAACCCAGAGAACAATTATCTCATAGCGATCAGATGGATGAAATGTCGAGTCCGCCTGTACTAGCCTCCTGATTTTACCCACATGCTCACTCTCTTAGAAAATTCTTCATACGACGAACCCTTAATAAAGTATGATACACTGTTTTTCATCCATAATCCCTGAAATATGTCAGCAATCGAAGGGGGCTCAACTGAACATCATAACTTATGACCGACTTCCAGTGATTGTCGAGATTCACAGTCAGTGAAATAGTAAACAGAATCATGTTTTGCGAGGAGAAATACCATCAAAATTAGATACGTTGGCTCATATGTGCTATTCCGTTGTTTTGCACTTACTACGAATTCTTGCTGTTTCGTCTTTTTTTTGTTTGTACGAGAAGACAGACGAAAGAAGGAGAATTAATGTTTGATGATTTTCATCTTCTCGAGGCAAAAAAAAGAAATAATGAGAATTTAGGTTTGTTACTTTACGTAACAAAACAACGAAATCACACAATCGTGATCAGTCACCGCATGTAAAACATATGGATATTAATGCTTAAAATTGTTGGGTTTTTCAAAATATATTTTTTTTCTAGTTTTATAATTATTTGTTTGTTTTCGACTATTTTCTTACGCAAAGTAATTTTAAATGGATACTATTTCCAGTTCACGGTGCAGAACCACAAATATGTATGTGGTACACGTCCTTAGATTACTCTGCCTGTTAACAGGACGTTAAACAAAATGAGCTCAAACGACATGTCTATAGTACACCGGTACGAGCCAGAAACAACGCTTAATCAAACACAACGTGCGAACTTGAATAGCGGAAGTGTATCAAGGGCACCGGAAATGGACGTATACGCTTATCTGCACTATGAATACATCCGTATCTATATACGTACAAGCGTACTATACATAAATGACAGCATATATACATGTATAAGAGAAAAAAAGTAGCACAAATGCATGTTTTGTTGTTGGAGATCGAACCGACGACCCCTGGCTTTCTAGTCCGGCGCTCTACCGCTGAGCTAAAAGGAAATTTCCTTTCTTCAAAGCTTATCAAGAAATTTTAACACTATGTACAATGCGCATCATTTATATTATGAGAAGTTCTTTTAACACAAGCAATGACATTTTCTATGTGACTATTACGATATGAACACTATCACCTTTATCAGACGAATGACCAATGAAGAAGTGTATGCACACAAAGGTGTAAAATGTGTACGAGTTGTCCATAAAATCGATGTCGATTTCGGCTACGCTGGAAACGTATGTACAATAGTTGTTATATATGTACCGAAATGACTCAATTCCGCTACGCTTTGTTAACACTTGGTCATATATGTACGAGAGTCTTTGAGCCCCATCGTCTCGATTTAGAACTGGCCCACTGCGGCGTATCCAGATGGCTTACTGTATCTGCCGCTTAAACAGATTCCTCTCTGTGTCCAAAACTTTCGAGTAATCCCAGTCAATCACATGGAAAAAAACTTCTCATAATCTATACTAACCAACCTGGAGAAAATGTTAAGAAAAAAGCACATCATTTATACTACTTCCCTAAAGTATTTCCCTTCGAAATTTACTGCATGTAACGCAGCGTTTAGTCAATAATGAAAAAAAAAAAAACTCGCCTAATATTTTACCCTCCAACAGTTTCAAGAAGACAGTAGAGAAAGGAAAAACAGGTGTTCGTTGGCATGGCAACTAAGACTCCCGTCTCAGACGATCTACTAATGAGGAAAAAGCAAGCTCTCTTTAGAGTAAGCTTCAATGTGAAAGAGATGGGAATACTAGGTAACAAATTCTTAACGAAAAAATGTACAACACGATAGTGGCATATTCGATGGTACATTGTACGACGGTACCAGATAACAGATATACTACACGACAGTACTAGATAACAGATATACTACACTACAGTACCATATAACAGATATACTACACTACAGTACCAGATAACAGATATACAACACGACAGTACCAGATAACAGATATACTTCACTATAGTACCAGATAACAGATATACCACACTACAGTACCAGATAACAGATATACAACACGACAGTACCAGATAACAGATATACCACACTACAGTACCAGATAACAGATAGACTACACGACAGAACCAGATAACAGATATACTACACTACAGTACCAGAATAACAGATATACTACACGACGGTACCAGATAACAGATATACTCCACTACAGTACCAGATAACATATATAATACACGACAATACCAGATAACAGATATACTACACTACAGTGCCAGATAACAGATATACTACACGATAGTACCAGATAACAGATATACCACACTACAGTACCAGATAACAGATATCCTACACTACAGTACCAAATAACTTATATAATACACGACAGTACCAGATAACAGATATACAACACGACAGTACCAGATAACAGACATACTACACTACAGTACCAGAATAACAGATATACTACACGACAATATCAGATAACAGACATACTACACTACAGTACCAGATAACAGACACACTACACTACAGTACCAGATAACAGACATACTACACGACAGTACCAGATAACAGACATACTACACTACAGTACCAGATAACAGATATACTACACGACGGTACCAGATAACAGATATACTACACTAGGGTAGCAGATAACAGAGATACTACACTACTGTACCAGATAGCAGATATACTACACGACAGTACCAGATAACAGAGATTCTACACTACAGTACCAGATAACAGATATACTACACGAGAGTACCAGATAACAGAGATACTACACTACAGTACCAGATAACATATATACTACACTACAGTATCAGATAACAGATATACTACACGACAGTACCAGATAACAAATATACTTCACTACAGTACCAGATAACAAATATACTACACGACTGTACCAGATAACTGAGATTCTACACGACAGGACCAGATAACAGATATACTACACTACAGTACCAAATAACAGATATATTACCTGACAGTACCAGATAACAGATATACATATATACTACACTACAGTACCAGATAACAGATATACATCACGACAGTACCAGATAACAGATATACTACACAACAGTACCAGATAACAGATATACTACACTACAGTAACAGATAACAGATATACTACCTGACAGTACCAGATAACAGATACACTACACGACAGTACAGATAACAGATATACTACAGGACAGTACCAGATAACAGATATACTACACTACATTACCAGATAACAGATATACTACACGACAGTACCAAATAACAGATATACTACAGGGCAGTACCAGATAACAGATATACTACACGACAGTACAGATAACAGATATACTACAGGACAGTACCAGATAACAGATATACTACACGAGAGTACCAGATAACAGATATACTACACTACAGTATCAGATAACAGATATACTACACTACAGTACCAGATAACAGAGATTCTACACTACAGTACCAGATAACAGATATACTACTCGACAGTACCTGATAACAGATATGCTACACGACAGTACCAGATAACAGACATACTACACTACAGTACCAGAATAACAGATATACTAAACGACAATATCAGATAACAGACATACTACACTACAGTACCAGATAACAGACACACTACACGACAGTACCAGATAACAGATATACTACACGACAGTATCAGATAACAGACATACTACACTACAGTACCAGATAGCAGATATACTACACGACAGCACCAAATAACAGAGATTCTACACTACAGTACCAGATAACAGATAGACTACACTACAGTACCAGATAACAGATATACTACACTAGGGTAGCAGATAACAGAGATACTACACTACAGTACCAAATAGCAGATATACTACACGACAGTACTAGATAACAGATATACTACACGACAGCACCAGATAACAGATATACTACACTACAGTACCGAATAACAGATATACTACACGACAGTACCAGATAACAGAGATTCTACACTACAGTAACAGATAACATATATACTACACGACAGTTCCAGATAACAGATATACTACACTACAGTACCAGATAACAGAGATTCTACACTACAGTACCAGATAACAGATATACTACAAGAGAATACCAGATAACAGATATACTACAGGGCAGTACCAGATAACAGATATACTACACGACAGTATCAGATAACAGACATACTACACTACAGTACCAGATAACAGACACACTACACTACAGTACCAGATCACAGACATACTACACGACAGTACCAGATAACAGACATACTCCACTACAGTACCAGATAACAGATATACTACAAGAGAATACCAGATAACAGATATACTACAGGGCAGTACCAGATAACAGATATACTACACTACAGTAACAGATAACAGATATACTACCTGACAGTACCAGATAACAGATACACTACACGACAGTACAGATAACAGATATACTACCTGACAATACCAGATAACAGATATACTACCTGACAGTACCAGATAACAGATATACTACCTCAAAGTACCAAATAACAGACATACTACACGACAGTTCCAGATAACAGATATACTACAGGACAGTACCAGATAACAGATATACTACACGACAGAATCAGATAACAGACATATTACACTACAGTACCAGATAACAGACATACTACACGACAGTACCAGATAACATATATACTACAGGGCTGTACCAGATAACAGATATACTACACGACAGCACCTGATAGCATATATACTACACGACAGTACCAGATAACAGACATACTCCACTACAGTACCAGATAACAGATATACTACACGACGGTACCAGATA